TAAATGTCTTTTATATCAAATGAACTTTATGCCTAATGAAATTTATGTTAAATAAAATAAATGTCAAAGGAAACCATGTCAAATGAAATGTATGTCAAATGAGTTTCACGTCAAATGGGAATTTGACGTGAGTTTTTGAGTTTTATTATATCAAATGAAATTTATGTTAAATAAATTGTAAGTCAAATAAAATTTAAAATATAAATTTTATGTCAAATGAAATTTATGTTAAATTGTTTTATAGCAAAAGACAAAATATTCATTTTCTAAATCAAATATAATTTATTGGACTCAAAAATATTTATTTGTCACAGAGCCTACTATAAACAATATCCTTTGTGCTTTTTTGCGTGTAAATATTAACCAAAATTCCATTAAAAAAATTTATATATAAAAAATTAGATACAAAATACTTTAAAACTATAAAAAAAATAATTCTAAGAAAAAAAATTGAAAAATAATTTTAAGATCAAAATAACAATGCATAAACCAGCCGTTTAATCTTAAACGTAATTGAAAATGTAATTAAAAATTCTGTACAGCTTTAATTATGTGATAATAATGTCCATAAAAAACCGAGAGCTTTTCCCATGGGGTCGCGGATCGTTATTTTCTATACAAAGTTTATTATAAACGGAAAATGCGAGAGCAAGCATATTTAATGCTATATCATATTTTTCATCTTATATTTTATACATAAGAATGTTGTCATGGATAAAAAATTTTAATTATTTCATCGCGACATATTTTGTTCTTGCCAATATATATAGATAAATCAATAATATAATTAATAATTAAATATTATAATTTTTATTTTTAAATGCAGAGAAGAAAATTTTCATACATCAATATTCCCGGGTGTGCATGGAAATCAATTTTTCCTTTTTGCAACATTTTTTATTTAAAGTAGATACCAATGTTGAACACAAAAATGAAAACCGTCACTGAATTAATGAATAATTCATTCAATCAGTTGAATTACGATTTAATAAAACGGAAATATTTTGCAAATTCAAGAGCGAGAGAGAGGGAAAGGGGGGAGTTTTTTTCTCTAATTTTAAATTTACGAAATTTTCATATATAATTTAAAAATATAATTCGCCGGGAGGGTGTAATTTTCTCTTTGTGTTTTTCTCAAAAAAAATATTTTTTCTTTGTTGTTTGAAAAAAATTCTGTAAATTTTTTTCTTTGTTGATTATTGCTTTAGTGCAGATAGAGCAAAATTTTTTTTTATAGAAAATAAATGTTTCTGTGAACTATTTAAATTTTATGCTGAATTTTCTGAAGGCGATCCAAAGGAAAAACAGTTTTTTGGCAGTTTTCAACATTGTCTGAACTAAAAAAAAATTTGCGCTACAAAATTTGCAGAAATTAAAGAGAAAGGGTGTAATGATTGACTATTGTCTTCTAATTTTACTAAATAATTTAGCGCGAAAATAATTTTACTGAAAAAATTAATTAATATGATGAGAAAATTAAAAAATGTCTTCAAAATTATTTTAATTTAAAAAAAAGATGCAATTTGGATTTTTTGGCCTAAACTATGGAACAATAAAAAAATTAATTACTGAACTAATAATAATGTATTTCTTCCTAGTTGACTCACCGGTCACTAACTTTGAATTGGCGCTACTTCCTGGACTACCAACACATACAATGTCAGCGCAAGCATCGCTATTATAATGTATGCCACTTTCATCAAAAAGTTGATAATAATAATAAATAAATTTTTACCTATTTTTAATTCCTACTTGTAAAAAATTATTTTTTTTACCATAAATCAAAAGAGTGGCAAAACTGAATTTTGCCAAAGAGAAAAAATAAAATGTGAAATTAAAGGAAAAATAAGACAAAATAAATAATATAAATTTGAAAAATAATTTTTTTTAAAAAATTGCAAATTTACTTAGGTATAAATGAAGTCAATCTACTGTATTAAACTTTTCTTTCTTATCTCTCTAAAAATATTAACCCGATATCTTTTTTCCATACATGAAAGTGAAATGATGCCAACTCTTTTTTTTTTTTTAAAGGGGGTTTCTCTCTTGGATGGCCTTAAGGCAAGTTGACAGCTGACACATTCCAGTCAATAGTAAATCTGACCACGAGCATAATAACGTCAATGGCAAAAAGCAGTCCCCGATTTTTCATTGTTTGGCTTTTGGCCCATATGTCGTGCATAATGGTACAAATCGAAAATAAAGGATAATATCCGAACAAGAAGCACAGGTCTAACGTGAAAAATTTAGATTCGATAATTATTTACACGCATTCGCAAATTACAATAAAATATAATATAACAAAATTATAAAAAAATATATTCTAAAAATAATTTTTTAAAGAACACTAAGAAAAAAATATTTTTGAATCAAACATAAAATTATCTTTGTTATACAGTCAACCAAAAATTATTTTTTAATTAAACATAATAATTTTGATTCAATACATAACAATAAGTTTGATTCAATAAACATTACGTTTAATTCAATTATAAAATATATGTTTAAGTCCAACATATTTTTTTGGTTGGCTACTTATTTTTGAAGTAAAAAAAATTTCTTCTTAGTGAAAGGATTTTTTATCAAAAAGACGCCAAAAAAAAAATAGGCGAAAATTGGAACATTTATTCCAAACTACTGTTAATTTTTTAATTTTCAATATTTTTATCTCAAAGTTAGTTTAGTTAAATAATAAAATAGATAAGAAATATGACGAATTGTTTTATTCCAATTAAGTAATTTTACCCATTTCAAAAAAATTCACGAAAAATCAGCCTCTTTATGTATTTGACTCCCCCCCCCCTCCCCTTCCCGCTACATCAATAATATTTTTGCATTACTATAAGGTAGAAAAGAATAACTTTTTTATAATATAAATTATAAAAATTATTATTATTAATCATAATTTAACTATTGTTTGTCGATAAAATAATTTTTTACAGTGCGGTAAATTTGATTTTCATTTTATTTGACAAAATTAAAATATACCTACTGTTGTCGTTACTAAAATAATAAATAATTAATTATTTATAAATATAACTGATTATTAATAATTAATATAAGTCTAATAATACTTATTATATAATTATGTTTAAATAAATAAATCATTATATTTTTATAATAATAGTGATAATAAATTACTAATTATTAAATTTTTCACGAAATTATTAAAATTATTAAACTTTTGTTTCCGTTGAACTCAAGATTTCTTTTGATTTCAAGAAAAAGTGTAGGTACTTTATGCAGTCAGGGCTTTTTTAAATCAAGAAAATAATTATTTTGTGAATATTATATAGCTATACAGCCAAGGTAAACACAGTAATAATTACCAATAATGGTGTAATTATTTTAGCGACTAAAATAATATTGTGCAACTTCATTTCGCATAAACGAATCAAAATAATAATAGTGAAGAATAATATTTATTATTGTGTTATTTTAGAAACAAAAAGAAAATTCTTTTATTTTTAGTAAACAAAAATGAAAATTAATAATAATTAGCAATACAATTTATTACTATAAATTATTATGTTAACAATAAAAATAATATGCTTTTCTTTGACAAATAAAATCAATTTAATTAAACTTATTAAAAAAAAATGAATTCTACAGAATTGTCAGTTAAAAATATAAAAAATTCAGATTTTCAAAGATTTAATATTAAATTATTATCTAAAACATTAATTGAAATTGATTTTTAAATAAATTTTTATTAGAAAATTCTACGAGAATTCAATATTATTTAAATACAAAAATAAATAATTTATTGAATAATTGAATGTTTCTTACAATTGTAATATTATAAAGAATTCTATCAACAAATTTTTAAATAATTGAATTCTTTCAACGAATTTTTTACAGAATAATAATTGAAATTCTGCGTTGAGTTTTAATATTTATAAAAATAATTAAATATTTGCGTAGAATTTTATTAAATTTTTTTAAATAATTGAATTCTTTTTAGAAAACTTTATTTAAAAAATAGATACTGAAAATCATTGAATTGAGGAAAATTTTTGAAAATAATTGAAATTTTACCAATAATACCTAATTTTATTAGTTTTTGAAAATATTAAATTTTGGAGAAGAATTTTATTATTTATAAATATAATTGAAGTTTTGACAAGAAGTTTTTTAAATTTTTGAACATAATTGAATAATTGTTAAATAATAATTCATAATTATATTATAAATGTTATCAAAAATTGAAATAACTATTATTGGAAAAATTTTAATTCTTCTGCGAAGAATTTTATTACTTTAAAAATAATTGAATTTCTACAATCATTTGTAATTTCTCTAAAATTCAATTTTTTTGGTGATTTTAACTAAAAAATTTTAACTTAATATTCTTTTGTAAATCCATTACTTTTAATAATTAATTAAATATATATTAAAAAATTATAATTAATTTCATTATAAATGAATAAATTTTGGTAACAAAAAATGTACCTTTATTCTGTCAAAAAATAAATTAAAATTAATATTAATTAAGAATTACCGTAAATAATTACTTTACCGTAAAAAATAATAACAATTAACAATAATATTTCCTGCTGTAAAAAATTATTTTATCGATAAAAAAATATTTCTCTCTAATTTTGCAAAATAATTAAAAATAATTCTTATTCACAATAATATTTATTATTATATAAATATTATAACTATTTTAGCAATAAAGAAAATATACTTTTATTTTGCCAAAAAAAAGTTAAAATTAATTAACAAAAATTAGAATAACAATAATTTTATTACAAGTAAATAATTATTTTATCGACAAAAATAATTCGTTCTTATTTTGCAAAAAAAAAAAAATATTAAAATCACAAATAAAAATTCACAATAATATTTATTATTCTAAATAATTATTTCAGTGCCAAAAAGAAGATATACTTTTAATTTGCAAAAAAAAAAAAAAAATATCAATTATAAAACGAGCGTTCCCCTATTTTAAACTTGATACATCTAACGCCAGAGACCGCCAGTCGATGGTCCAGCACAGCATCCCCCAGCGCTACCAGCGCAATCTTCCGTTAACAACCCCACACTAAAATGAGGGTTGTTATTTGAGATTCGAAAAGCGCAGGACACAACCGCAAACAATACACATGCGTGCGCGTGTTTCTCTCCTGCTCTCACGAAATAATAATCCCCCAACAATTATTTTCACCGATAAAATAACAATTTCACGAATAATTAATTATTTAACAAAAAAGAAAAATAAAGACTAAAATAAAGTAAAGAAAGAAAGAAGAAAAAAAAATTGAAAATAATTGATAAAGAATGAAAAAATTTAAATTTAAATTTGTCTTCCCCTAAAACAGAGAGTGAGAGAGAGAGAGAGAGTATATTTTTTTCTTTTTCAAAGTACATGTTGTCAAAAGGTATTAAAAGGGGGGTGTAAATAAAATGGCCGTGATTCGTTGACCGAGCTTTATCAATTATTCGTGAGTGTGTGCGCATGTAAGTAACACGTGCTTCGGCTTTTTAGTGTGGTGTGTGTGTACATAGGGGGGGAGGGAGGGGTGGTGGTTTTGAGAACAATTGAAGAGGTGCAGGCTATCCAATTAGTGTCTAATCGGTTTAAAGCAAGTGTGCGCTAAGTAGCAAGACATGATATTGTCTTACGTTACACTCGTGCGTAAAAAGTTGTGCTGATATATTATTTAAACGCCGAGAGAAATAGAGAGAGAGAGAGAGGGAGAGACAGAGTCTGAAATACTGTCTCTCCATAGTGAAAATTCTCTTGATTAAATCGGTAAGTGATATCCTGGTTATCGATCCTCCTTTCTCTTTGATAGAATGAAGAGCTTTTGTCCTTGAAATGGCAGATTCAATCGCGTCATCTCTCGCGTTTTTATTAATAGTGACAATTTTTTCATTTTAAATTCAAAATAAAACGTTTTTTAAAGTTTTTTTTCTTGCCTTTCAACTATAAAAAAGAATTTTTTGCTTTTAACAATAAAGAATAATTTTTTTTTTTTGTATATTTAATAAATATTATTATTTTAATTTTTATTTAATTAATAAATATTATTAGCTATTAAGAAAAGAAATAATTTTTTTTGATAAATATTTGATTGAAACGAAAAAATGTTTTTATTAAGAAGTGAAAAAATAAATAAATTATTAAACTGTTATTCTAATGGTGACAATTTTTTATTTCAAATTAAAAATAAAACGTTTTTTAGTTTTTTTTCCGGATATAAATTATAATTTTTCCCTTTTAACTTCAGAGAACAATTATTTTTTGCTTCAATAATAAATTATAAAAAGTGTTCGCTCTTCGCTATAAAAAATACAAATATCATTCGCAATTAAAAATAGAAATAATTCTTCTGTAAAATATATTTATACGAAAAAATGTTTTTGAAGAAGCAAAAAAATAATTTAATTATTAAAAAAAAAATTTATAGTGCGTTAATTTTTTTAATTATAAATTAAAGTAAAAACGGTTTTTAATTACTTTCTCCTCTCGGCTGTGAAACATAATTTTTCCCCGTTTAACTGTAAAGAATAATATGTTTTGTTTCAATAAATAATACTAAATATTATAAAAAGTATTCACATGGTAAATAAAAATATTATTCGCTATTAAAAATAGAAATCATTTTTTTTGCGAAATATTCAAGAGCAACGAAAAAATGTTTCTAAAGTAAGGAAAAAATAATTTTATTATTACAGATTTTTGAATAGGGTAAACTAATTTCAAATTGAAAACAAAACTGTTTTCAATAATTTTTTCCTTTCAACTATAAAAAATAATTTTTTCCCTTACTTTAACTATAGAGAATAGGTTTTTTTTATTTGAATAATAAAAATTGTTTTCTATTAAAAATTGAAATATTATTTTGCTATTAAAAATTGAAATCAGTCATTAGTAAAGATTGAAATTTTAATTTTTATACCACAAAAACAAAATTTTTAATTTTTTAAAGGAAACAAATTTTTACCTCGTAAAATCGAAAAATAATTTATTAAATAGTAAAAAATTTGATTAATTCAAAAACAAAATTTGTGATTTCTTTGAATATTATAAACAAAAACAATATTTGGAATAGAAAGTGTCGAAAAAAATGTATCACAAAAAAAATAGGTGGGTAGATATTTTTTTCTCTTAATTAAAAAAAAGTTTTTGTCTATAATTTTTTTTTAAAAGCCAACGAAATTTTGCAGAAGTTTCTTTTTGACTTTCTTGTCCAAATTTTACTCTTTGCAAAAAAATATTGTTTGCAAGAAAATATTTTTAGCTTTTAAGAAAAATAATTTGTCTTGAACTTGAGAAGAACGAAGAAAAATATTTATTTCTAAATATTATTTTCGAAATAAGAAAGAAAGCTTTACCATAAAAAATATTTCCCGTAAATTACTTTCTCTCAACTGTATATTTTTATTACCGCATTAATTCAACAAAGTATAACAAATCGAGAATTTACTTTTTATGATAAAAATGCGAATAAAAAATTAAAGAATTGAATTAAAAAAATAAAAAGTAAATATTTTCCATGGAAAAGTTGTAAAAACTCAAAAAAAAAATTGCATAAAGAAAAGAAGAATAAAAAAATAAGAAAAAATAATATCAAATAAAAATTTTTATTTTTAATATAAATATGAATAAGAAATTAATGAATTGAATAAAAAAAATACATTTATATATCTCATGGAAATGCAGTAATATGAATATTGAAAAAATGCAACTACTATTTATTTCCCTTGCAGACATTTCAAATTGGCGGAAAAAAAAATTCGGAAAATGAGATCCTATGACGGCGAAAGTAGTTCTGGGGAAGAAGATGACAAACGAGAGGTTTTACCGGAAGTACATTTACAACCTTGGCAACGATCAACTTCCCATCCTACTTGGGCTTGGGAGCATCGCAATGAAGTAAGACAATATTTACATTCAAAAAAATTGAAAATATTTCAAAACTGTTTTCCAAATATCACCAGAAAATCGGAAAAAGAAAAAATGCGAAAAAATAGAAAATAGTATAAGCAATAATAATAATAATAATAATAATAATAATAGTAAAAAGAATATTATTATAAATTATAATTGATTTATTTAAACAGTATATACACTGAAAAAATGTTTTTGATTTAAGTAAAAATTATTTAATTCAAGTAAATATTTATTTAACAAAAATCAAGTAATTATTTGAATCAAACAATTTTTTTTCAATTCAGTGTACAAACTTACGAAAAAATAAAAATTCTTTTATAAATAATAATTTATTATAATATTAAACAAAATTATATTATTATTAACAATATAATTGTTATTCATTTATTACTGACAATATAAATTTAATATTAATATTATTGCACACAAAGAAAAGTTTATTTTGAACCAAATTTATTGTAAAGTCTTTGTGTTAAAGAAATGTATATTATATTTTTCTCACACCCTAATAACCATTTTATTTGTCACAAATAAATTTTCTTTGTGAAGAAGTAAAATTTATTTGTATGAAATAAATTTTCTTGAGAGGAAATAACATTTGTTTGTATTAAATAAATTTTCTTTGGGAGGAAAAAAATTTATTTGTATCAAATAATTTTCTATTAGGTTGTGAGACAAATGTCCCTCTTCTCTTGACATAATGATAAGAAGAATAATAAATATTAATCTGTACAGGCTTCGGACTAAATTTTGAAATGAAAAATAGTATCAAAAGTGCCATAAAATTTTCGTAATAACATTTTTTTTAATAATAAAATAGTGGTTTAATTTCTCCATTTGAGAACGTCAAGATCATCACTAGGTGGCGTGGAATCTGGTTTTGGCAAATTAACTGACATCTAGCGGTGACCATGACGTTCTCAGGTGGAGAAATTAAACCACTATTTTATTATTAAAAAAATGTTATTACGAACATTTTATGGCACTTTTGATAGTATTTTTCATTTCAAAATTTAGTACATTAAATCTAGAGACTTTGACAATTATATAAATGAATTTCAATTTTGATTTCACTTTAATTTGCTATATTTTTATGATCTCCAATATTTTAACTTTTTTTAACAAAATAAGTGACATTTGTAACTTATTTATAAAATAGTTGACTGAGATGAAAAAATTGTTAAAAAGTATGGTGTGTAAAAAATGGTTGTAGTAGTTAGTAAAATTACTTACATTTATCTGCATTTGGTGTAGTTGCCGGCCCATTCAGGAGAATCGATAGGTTCGATGAATTTCAATCCAGTGGGAATTCCTCATCCGGGAGTATCCGGACCACCAGTTAGTTATTCGCCTTCGGAACATTCACAAAGTGCACCAGGAAGAAGAACTCCTTTAGGTGCCGTAGGACTCGGAGGTTTCTATTTTCAGCAACAACCACAACCGCAAACATCGTCTAATGCACTGTCCGATGAAAATAAACCAGACCAAGAGAGGTGATTCTGCAATTAATTATTATTGATTCACATTAAATTAACAATAATAAAAGTAATACTCACTGTAGTCGGAAATCAATTTCTTTAATCGAATTTTCAATTAAATGATCAGAAAATTTAATTTTTTTGAAAAGTGTAGAAAATATATTCATCATTTTTCTTCTACTTAATATTTAACTTTCATTGTTTTATTTATTTCTTTTTGCTGTTAATTTTTTTTTTGTATTTTTCACGATCATTCAAAATGATGATACAGAGGGTCGATTATGTAATTTCATTTCTACTTTGACTTTCATTTTCACTATCACTTTGAAAGATATATTTTTATTTTCAATTTCATTTTCACTTTCATAAATTCTTAGTTCAGGGTTCAAACCAGTGAAAATATTTAAAAATACGAACTTTACGGACCAATTATACTGTCAAAAATATAATACCAGTCCGAGTCAGATAAGAGAACATTTTATCTACAACTACAAATTAAATTTTCCATAATTCTATAAAACATGAAGATATCGATAACTCCGAGTCTTCAACTCGGAGTGATCGGTTTCTTCATGTTTCATAATAATTAAAGATGACCGAATGATAAAATCATTATCAATTCAATTATTATTTTCAAGAATTCTTGAAAAGAAGAATTTTAGTTAACAACTAAAATTCTTCCTTAAATCGATTATTTTCAATACTTTTCGAAAAAGTTCTTTGACAATTTTCAAATCCATTTGTTAACAATATTCAATTTAAGAAATTTCAATTATTCGTAAATTATTTAATTAAATAAATATTAGAAAATAAAAACTTCAAATAGTATAAAAAAACTCAATTAAACTTTTTCAAAAAAATTAATTTCAAAATTCAGTTATTTCTAAAAATTCACGCTAAATTGCTTATAATATTCAATTATTATCTAAAATTTTAATATAAATTCATTTTTAAATTAAGTTTTATTAGAAAATTCTACTAGAATTCAATTATTTAAATGTAAAAATAAATAATTTATTGAACAATTAAATGTTTCTTAAAATTCAATTCCCCCATAAAGAATTTTATTAATAAATTTTTATATAATTGAATTTTTTCGACGAATTTTAATAACATTTTTAAGAATAATTACATTTTTCGAGAAATTTGATTAAAATTGCGTATAAAAAATAATTTGAAATTCTGCGATGAATTTTATTATTTGTGAAAATAATTGAAAACCTAAGAAGAATTTTTATTACTCTTGAAAAATAATTGAATTTCTTCAATAATTTGTAACTTTTCCAAAATAAAATTTTTTTCCGTGTTTTTAACTAAAATTCTTTTTTAAATGCATTATTTTTAATAATTTTTGAAAAAGTTCTTTGAGAATTTTCAAATTTATTTGTTTACAATTATTCAATTTTACAAAATTTATTTATTCGTAAATTCTTCAATTAAATACATATATTAGGAAATAAGAACTTGAAATAGTTTCAAAAAAAAATCCGCAATTAAACTTTCCCAAAAAAAATTAATTCCACAGAATTGTTAGTTAAAAATATGAAAAATTCAGATTTTCAAAGATTTTAATTTGAAACCTTTTCAAAATTCAATTATTCCTAAAAATTAACACTCTAATGCTTTTAATATTCAATTATTATAATCTCAAATTTTAACTAAAATCCATTTTTAACTCAATTTTTATTAGAAAATTCTACTAGAACTCAATTATTTAAATACAAAAAAATAATTTATTGAATGATTGCATATTTCTTAAAATTAAATTCTTATAAAGAATTTTATCAATGGATTTTTAAATAATTGAATTCTTTTGACAAATTTTTAATAAAATTTTTAAGAATAATTACATTTTTCGAGGAATTCGATTAAAATATTAAAAATAATTGAAATTCTGCGATGAGTTTTATTAATTTTGAAAATAATTGAATTTCTAAAAAGAATTTTATTATTTACAAAAATAATTGAATCCATGTGGAAATTTTATTATTTATGAAAATATTTGAATGATTGCGAAGAAATTTATAAAAAATTTGTAAACAATTAAATTCCTATGAAATTTTGATTACAATACATTTTACCGAATCCATTTTACAGAACGTCTTTTTTACCGAAAATTTTTTTTAAATAATTGAATTCTTTTGGACAATTTAATTAAAATAGTCAATATTAAAAACCATTGAGTGAGGAAAATTTTTGAAAATAATTGAAATTTTGCCAAGAATTTTATTTAAATTTTTAAAAATAATTGAATTTCGGAGAAGAATTTAATTACTTTTAAAGATAATTGAAATTTTGAATAAAAAAAAACGGACTTTTACGGACTTCAAGCAAATTTACGGACCTAGTTCGAGCCCTGTTAATTTTAATTTTCACTTTAAAAAATTTTTATTTTCCCTTTCCGTTTCACTTTTCTGATCTTTATTTTCACTTTCTGTTTAACAAATTTTTATTTTCATACTTTCTATCAAAAGTGAAAATAAAAATTCATCAAGCTAAAAGTAAAAACAAAAGTAAGAGCACAAATAAATAGCTAGCAAAGTGACAGTGAAAACAAAAAGTGAAAAACAATCAATTAAAGTGAAAATAAATGTAAAAGTAAAAATCTGTCAAAATTAAAGTGAAAATAAAAATATAACAAGACGAAAGTGAAAATTTTGTGAAAAGAATTTAAAAATACTATTGGAAATTTCTTTTTATGTTTTTCGTGAAAAATTAATTTTTCTCCCCCTTGGTAGGAATCGAACCCGAGACTACATTTCGTAACCAGTGCAGTGCTCTTACCACTTCAGCTACCTGCATAGTATTCCAAAATTTACACTTTCTATAAATCCTAATTCTAAATTCATTTAAAGTAACTTCAAATTATCAATAATACATAAATAACAATCCCATGTGAAAAAGTTCCTGGGAATGATACCGTGAAATTCCCGGCAGTGAAAATTAAATCAAAAAAATTCTAGGGGAAATTCCCGAAACCATTATCGGGAAATTTTTCACGTGGGATATAATATTAAAAAGTTTACAATTGAAAATAAATGAAATAATTTTTTTTTCGATAGTAGTGAAAATGAAGGATAATTTAATATTGTCTGTATTTTTTTTGCTTAATAGACCTGAGACTTCAAGACTGAATTGCCCATCAAAATCGAAAACAGCTCGTCAGGGAAAAAGTGTGAGATTGAATATAAATGCCAGAGAACGTAGAAGAATGCACGATTTGAATGATGCACTGGATGAATTACGATCTGTTATTCCCTACGCTCATAGTCCGTCCGTTAGAAAACTATCGAAAATAGCAACACTTCTCTTGGCAAAAAATTATATTCTCATGCAAGGTATGGCAAAAGAAAACAAAATTTTAATTTCATCTCAAGATAAGAAAGTTATATTTTGTGATGCAGGTAATCTTATTTTTAACAATAAGAAATCTTAGTTTAAGACAAGAAATCTTATTTTAAACACTTAAAAATATTATCTTAGTAAAAGAAATATTATTTTAAGACAAAAAATTCTATTTTGACACATAAATACACAGTGAAAAAGAAATTCTTAATTTAAAAACAGTTTTACATTCAGCAGTGTCTGCTTACATGTAAAATCCTTCTAAATCAATTACGAAAATTCAGCATTGACAGTCTTCAAAATTTTCCATCTTTTTTTAAAACAAGAAAATATTTTATTCCCGAATAAAATCTTATTTTTGGACAAAATATCTCATTTTAAGATAAAATCTTATTGTGGGTCAGTAAAATCATGTTTTAGACAAAAAATTTCATTTTAAGATACCCAATAATATGTTATTTTAAATCTTATTTTAGGACAAAAAATCTTGTTTCAAGATAAAATCTTATTTTAATACAAGATAATCTTAGTTTGAAACAAGAAAATCTTATTGAAAGTCAATAAAATCATATATTCAAAGAAAAATCTCATTTTAAGACATGAAATCTTAGTTTAGGGGAAAAAAATTCTATTTTAAGACAACAGATTCTAAAATACAATACAAGATAATTTATTTCTTTTTTTTTAAACAAGAAAATCTTATTCAAAGTCAATATAATTTTATTTTAAAATAAAAAAATTTAGTTTATATCATAAATTCTTATTTTAGAAAAGAAACTTTTATTTTAAGACAAAAATTTCATTATTAGCACATGAAATAGTGTTTAAAGGAGAATCATTTTCTTTTTAGACAAGAGAGACTCATTTTAAGTTAATAAATTCTGATTAGAACAAATAATAATCAAGATTCGACGCCAAGTATAAACCACGAAGAATATATCAAAATATCCTGCTTATATAGATAAAATCGAATAACTCGAGTAAATTATATTTTGAATTTTAACAACTTTGTAATTTAATTTCATGATTAACATGAGCAAAAAATTAAATCAAATTTTATCCGTCTTACTCTCTAAATTTGAATTAGTAAAAATGTTTACTAATTTTAATTAGTGACTGACTTTTTGCTTTTGAATTAGTAAATTTTACTAATAAATTATGTAGTAAAAGTTACTATTTATTAGTGAAGTTTACTATTTCAAAAGCAAAAAGTCAGTCACTAATTCAAATTAGTAAACATTTTTACTAATTCAAATTTAGAGAGTAATAAACAATTTCTATTTAAGGCAACTTTAAAATCTTGGCGTCAATGCTTTCATCAATTATAAGTTAGAATTTATTTTATTTTAAAAATTTTAAAATCTTATCGTAAATTATTTTTAAATTCTTTAAAAATATTTTTATTAACAACTATGCGTGAAAACAAAACTTTTCATTATAAAAACGTCAAATTTGATCAATTTTTGATCATCGAGTTATAAGCATTTAAAAAAAATTTACGTAAAAAACGTCATTTTTCAAAAATCTGTATCTCTTGAACCGCTTTATGAAAAAATTTGAAAAAATCAAGGTAGCTCATTTCAAAGAGTACTAAAAGAAAAAAAAATGTTTAAAAAAAATTTGAGATGCAAAAGCAAAATGATGTCCGACTTAGCCTGGATTGCCCCATATGTTAATCATGAAATTAAAATTCATATTTGTTACAATTTAAAATAATAACGTGAAACATTGACTAAATTCGGAAATGTAATTAGTAATTAATTAATAAAATCAATCAATATGAAAACTTTAGTTATAAATTTTACTTCGTAAACTTTTATTTCACTAATTGTTTGGACAATTAAAAAAACTTTTACTTTTGGCGGAATTTTTTGCATCAAAGATGTTTTGTTGGGATCATGATTTATGGAAAGGAAAATTTTCTTAAACTGAAATTTTATTTTAAGACGTAATGTAGTTTTCAGTCAATAAAATCTCATTTTCAGACATACAGTTTTTCTAAAAATATTAAATTAAGATAAAAAATGTATAAAAATTATTGAGATGCAATGTTTTGATGACATAATCGTCTCAATTTGAGAATATCAGAAAAACTGTGCAGATAGTCCTATTTTAAAATTTAAACCATAAAAACTTATTTTAGAACCATAAATCTCCTTTTAATCAAAAAAAGCGATTTTAAAGCCAATATAGTATCTTATTTTTAGAACAGAAATTTTATTTTGCAAAAAAATTTTGTTTTTATACAAGATAATATTATTTTAAAACATGAAAATATAAAAATGAAAATAATTCTAAAACTGGGTGTAAAGGGAAATAGAAGTCCTTAATTTGAAGTCTGATCAGTTTTTAAAAATTTTAAATGGCGGATTCAACATGGCGGTTCAATTTTGAATAAATTAATAACAAACTGTTTCTAAAATGATGGAATTTTCTAAATCTTTATATCAATTCAAAATAGCGACTATAGGTACTATTTTTTAATAAATCAAACCAGATATTTTCGTGCAAAATTTTAACGTTTTTTGACAAAACAATTAATTTTATCAAAATTAATCCGCTATATAGGATCCGCCAGGTAACATTTTTAAAAACAGACTTCAAATTTGTACTCAGTGACCTCAAAAACACTTTCTATACAAGGATTCATAAAAACCTATCATTTTAGACACAAATTTAAAGAAAAATCCAAGACCTTCTCATTTTTGATGAGAATGTAACAACTATTTCAGAATTGAACCGCCATTTCGAACTTTTAAAAGCTGATCACAGATTTAAAATTAGCGACTCCTATTTTCATCTACACTCGATTTTATAGAATAATTGTTTGAATTATTCTTAGAATAATCAAAAGTCACATCAATAAATTGTTAAGGGTGGTTTATACCCCTAAAACTCCAGTTTGTCTTAAATTTCATGCAGTGCTGATGATTAAGACAAAGAAGATATTAACAATTGTTTTAGTTCAAATTCAGAAAAAATTATTTAATTACAAAACAATTTTTCACTTGAAAATAAAACAGAATTAAAAGCGAATTTTGCAAAATACTTTTCTTCAGAATAATAAAATAAAGTACAATTTACGAAATAGTTTCCCGGCAATCTCTCTATAAAAATCAAAACAAACCAAAAATAAAACCTGTAAACATAAATCAAATCCTAAAAAAGTCCGACAACCAAGCGTTTTGTTATTTGACAACAGAAAAACATAAAGATTCATTTCAGCATTTTTCTGCATTGAAAAATAAAAGCTTTTTCTTTTTAGAATGCAGGGGAAAAAAATGTAATTCAAACTAATGGATGTGTGTCCTATATATATATATAGATAATTAGATTTTACAATCTCTTTTTCTCTCGCTCTCTTTTAGGAAATGCTCTCGAAGAACTAAGAAGAGTAATAACGGTACTTCAATCACCACATGCACACACAACAGCATTGCCATCAACCCCTGTATCATACGATCTACTACATGGATTTCCGGGAAAACTTTTTCAAGGTGTTACCGAGATGCAAGGACTTGTCTCAGGAAGCCAACAACAGGCACCCACATCAATCGGTCTTCCTATTGATGATTCAATTAAAAATACTGAAGCATCATAAGAAAATTAGTTTTTTTTTCTTTTTCTTTTTCTTTTTCTTTATTCATACCAAAGCAAAGTATATAGATATATATTATAATATATTTAAAAAGAATTCGCAAAAGTCTTCTGACTCTGCGACGAGTGAAAATTCTAGTCATTTAGCTTGTAAGTGAAAAGAGCAGTTTCTTGAAACGCTTTCGCGTTCAAGTCTGCTCGCGAAAAAAAAATGAATCAAACTTTTGAAAGTATTTTCTCTTAATCTGAATCAATCAAAATTTTCCAATGCGAGTGAGGACACAAAAATGATTTTTTTACTAAAGGAACTTTATTAACTAGAAGAATATTTTTATTAACAAAAATTTAATTCCAAAAAATGTCTTTATTGGCGAAAATTTAGTTATCAAAGAAAAGTTTTTATTGGCGAAAAATTGAAAAAAATGGTTTTATTAATGAAAATTTATTAAAGGAAATTTTTATTAAGAAAAATTTACTTGAGACAATTTTTTTATAGTGGAAATTTATTCCATAAAATTATTTATTAATGAAACTTTATTAACTGAAGAGTTTTTATTAATAAAAATTCCTATTACAGGAAGCTTTTTTATGGAAGAAAATTTATTACATGAAAATTTTCTATAACGAAAATTTACTATTACAGGACATTATTTATTAGTGAAACTTTGAAACTTAATGAAAAAAATTTACAAAAGTAACTTTTTATATACGAGAACTTATTTTATTAAAGAAAAATTCTATTAATTTATTTATTATTCTTTTTACAGTTTTATTTTTATATTTATTTTTATATTAATAGAAAAATACTTTTTGCAATAAATAGAAAATAAATACTTTAATAAATTTTTCAATACTTAAATATTTTTATTTTTATTTTATTTGTGTTAAATGTTTAATAGATTTATATTTATTAATTACGTTATCATTAATATTGTACGTTTTATTTGAATTATAACAGAAAATTAATAATTCTAATCTAAAAAAATTTTATTTATCATTCGAATCAAAGAATTATATTTACTGAAAAAATTTTTGAATCAAAAATTAGTAAATTATGTTTAATATTTCAAAACAAATTAAATACATCTTACCTAATTGTTATGGATAATTATAAACTGAATTTTCCTTATTATTATTCTACAAATAATACAGTCCAATTTTAGAAAAAAAGTTTCAAAAAGCAATAAAATAATGATTTTGTTCTTTTAAAATTTATCTCCTAATTCTAATTTATACATTGAAAAGAAAATTTATTTGATTCAAATAAATGATTAAATAAATATTTAACTTAGTAATAATAAATTTGCGAAAATTATTTATATTTTTTTATTATTAGTAATAATTATTATTTTTATTATTCTCTCTCCTGAACAAGCTTTAAAATTAAAAATAATTTTGTAATAATAATATTTAAATTTAATAATATTTTTAATAATTTAATAAATTTCCATCATTTCATTATGGTCAATTTTAAATTGATTCAGATTAAGAGATTTAGGAATTAAGAAAATATTAAACACAAATTTTTCAATTCAAACATTAAAAGAAAGCAAAATGTTTGCTTATAAACAATTTTTCCCAAAAAGATGGAAAAAAATTTCAAGAATAAGATTTTTTGAAAAATGCAGAAAAAATTGAAAAAAATTAAGCAAAAGAGAATGTTTAATTTTTGGATTGAAAAATATTTGCCAAAAAAAAGACTTGTAATTATTATACATAAAATATGCTTTGAATATTTCTTTTAAGTATAAACATAAGTATATATAGAGCTTAATAATTTATTTTCAAATAACCTGAATAATATTGAAATGGTTCGATTTTAAGCAGGGATTGATTATTTATTGGTTATTTAAAGGAAAAATTCATTTATTAAATGACATCAAAAAGAAAAAAAAGTTCACAGTGTGTCATGAAATATTTGAATAATTTCTTCGAATGCGCAGTAGAAAAAGAAAGTAATTTAGAGTTCCTAATTTTTTCAGCATAGACGTAAATAATAATTATCTATACGCGAAGAAATATTTATCAAATTTTTATTGACAAAAAGAACTGAATTTTTCATTTTTTTTCATTCTTTATTTATCCAAATTTTAATTTTTTTAAAATTAAATTTGTCATTTTCAACCAAATTTGTTATCTTTGTGAGTAGATTTTATATTTTTAAATCAAATTTGTTATTTTATAATCAAATTTTTAATTATAAAAAATCTAAAATTTGTTTTGACAAAAACTGTAAAAAATAGAATTTTTATTTTGCGAAAATAATAATTTCAAATTTTTTATTTTCGTAATCAAATTTTGTATCATTTTTACGAAATTTCTAATTACAAAAGAATTCAATAATGTGTTTCGAAAAAAATGTAAAAAGTAGATTTTTTTGTGTAAAAATTATATACTGAGTCTTATTTTCCGAAAATAATAATTCGTAATAAAATTTTTATTTTTTTATCAAATTTTCAATTACGAAAAAATACTTTGTTTCGAAACAAAAATGTAAAAAGTATAGTATTTTCATTTTGCAAAAATAATAATTATTGATAAAAAATTCTATTAATTTTTTGGTCAATAATTTGATAAAATTTTTTCCTGTATATATAAAAAACAAAAAATAAATAATAACGAACAATTTTTTCATAAAAAAAATAAACAAATAAATAAATAAAATCAATTAGAGATTTGGGACTCTACGCACATTCGGAAAATATCAATGTTCCGCCCGTAACACGATAGTCAATATAGAATGTGATAAATTTTTGAATATGCTAGTCATACGCAGATAACAAAATATGAATTTATATACATATATATTTACTGAATCAAGTCTTCGATTTTTAATAATTTATTCATAATATATGTATACACACACTATATTAGAAAACTAGAATATTATATTAAAACGTCTAATCCCAGAAGACAACAAAAAGAATAAAGAAAAACAGTAAAATAAAAATTGCACAAAAACTTACATAGATATGCTTCGTAGCAGAAAGTATTTAATTGCATTTAGAAAATTAAATGCTTTAAAAAGATTTTTAAGCTATATAGAAAAAAATGTCTTCAATTTATTTTTCAATATACAATAACATAATATTATATAATATGAAAAATAAAAATTTCCAGTGTGCAAAAAAAAAAAATAATTAAAAACAAATTATCTGGGATGTCCATCGAAAAATTACTAAATATCAAGTGCCAAGATGTTTTCAAAGTATGATAAAAGGAAAAAAGAATCAGAAGAAATAAATTTTCAGTTGGATTTCGAAATATTAGTTCACTGATAATCCAACTGCGCTTAATTTTTTCAATTTTCATTAAATTCAATTTAAATTATTTAAATTTAATTAAATATTTTTATTATTATTATCAGAATTGTTATTTTTTTTATTTTAGTGAGTAATTACACTCAGAAAAAAATTTTACTCAGAGGCTACTAAATTGTCTATTTGATTCAAATAAATTTTATTTGGTTCAAATACAAATTTCATTTGTACTAAATAAAATTTTTAATTAATACAAATAATGTAGGAGACTCTGTGATAAATATATATTTTATTTATTAAATAAATTATATTTGGTTTAAATAAATAATTATTATTTAATATTATTTTTTATTATTATTATTACCTATTATTTATAATTTTATTATTATTATTATTATTATTATTATTATTATTATTATTGTTTTTAATTTTATTATTACTATTATTATTATTATTATTATTATTATTATTATTATCATCAATAAATTCTCTAAGTGTATTTTTCGTAAAATTAATAATTAATAAATAATTATAATTTCTTCAAAAGAAAAGAAAAATAATTTATACTATATTTTTTATAGGATTCTCATTGTAAAAAAAAGTATTGTTTAATAGAAGAGATTCAAATTTCTGATTCTATTAGAAAAAAAAGTGTTTTTTATAAATAAAACTTTTGGGTTAAATTTTTTTTGTCAACATCGAAACGAGTAACAAAAATTAATTGTTGCTTCAAGATGTGAAAGTAGTGATAATGTGGAAAGTAAAAAAACTGAAAGTAATCTAGTAGATAAACATATTATATATATATAATAAAGACTTACAAATTAAATAATGAAGAAAACAAAAAATTAATATATTAAGTAGTTGCGAGAAAAAAGGGGTGTTGTGCCAATTATATTATCGGATTTTAAAAGCTCATGTAAAAAATCAATAATATTTAATAGAGAAATCTTTCTTTATTAAATGTTACTGATTTTAATAAAAAAAAAAATTGTATCGAATTCTAGAAATTAGAAATAATCGAATAATAATCCATATATAATATAAAAAATATATTTAAATGTCGAATATAATCGACGTAGAAATGCAGTTATTCCGTCTAACCATGTTAAAAAAATATAATTATAACGATTTTAAATAACAAGTATTTATAATCAAATTACAGTAGTGATTTTATATACAAATTGAGTGGAAAATTACGAAAATTAGTTATGCTCATAATTTTTATCTGTCTTAGAAATATTATAGAAGAAAAAATAAATACACGATATACTTATAAACGTTATATTCGCATATTCTTTCAAAAAACGTTTAGAAGTTGGTAAAAAAATATCTTTTTTAATTTATATTTAAAAAAATAATTTTATATAACAAATATGCCAAAAAAATATAGTTTTCTTTTTTGGAAAATTACACAATTAGAAAACGTGTGACGAGAAAAATTTCTATCGTGTATATTATAATTTTTGTAACTATAATGAAATTGGTTTTTCTGTCAATATTCAAAAATATGAATAAATGGTGAGAAAAAACAAAAGCGATAGTAAATTTTTTTTATAGTTTTGGAAAATTTTCCATTCATGACAAAAAGGAAAATTATTATTTACATTATTTTTTATGTTATATTAATATAATATTAGTAATTAGATTAATATAATAGATAATATTATTAATAATAAAAATAATTTTTGATAGTGTATACTATAATTTTTGTAACTAATGAAATTCGTTTTTCTGTCGATATTCAAAAATACGAATAAATGGTGAGAAAAAACTACAGTGAGAATAAATTTTTTAAAACAGTTTTGGAGAATACTCCGTTTATGAGAAAAGAAGAAAATTATTTGTATTATTATTTTTAAAACCAATAGAAAAAGTTTTTTTATTCATAAATTACGAAAAAAAGTCGTTTATTTTATTCCGATATTGATGAGGAAAGATTTTTAGTCCTGCTCTATTGCAATAATAAATTTAAATTATAAGTTTTTGTAAAATTATAGTTTTTTCAAAACATTTCTTTAAAGCTTTTCACATATATATAAAACTTATTTCAATTAAATTAAACAAATAAATTTGTTTATATTGTGGCCGTGGGTCCAAAGGCCACAAATTTAATTTATTTGACAAAAATTAAGGTCCTGAAAACATTCTAAGTTAATAAAATTAAACGAAATTTATAATTGCTTAACAATTTTTCAATT